TTCAATTTCATATTATCTTTTCTCATTAAACAAATTTTCCCCTGTAGTTACTAATTGGAGTATGACACCTTTATATGTTTTAATTTTATCCATTCAACTCTTATTTCAATTTCAATTTATACCTTTAAAATTATAACATGCAATATAATATATAACTTCCAATCGAATTCTGCTTGGTACATTCTATCATTAATATTCATTAAGCTCTTAACATCTTTAACATTTCTTTTCAATTGAATATCATACTTCCTTGTGAACACTTATAAACTTTCTATAATTAATTCTTTTTTTTCCATATTTCTCTTATATTTTTATAAATCATTAATAATAATTAAAGTGTTCCCATCCTTTCCTAATTTCATTCTCTCATTCACTTTATTTCATTTATTTATTAACAAACATTCCACTGCATTACAATAAATATTTTATCCATCATTTTAGTCATCATATTTTCTGAAATTATTTCTGTTTCTAATATAACAATACTATCTTATGTACCTTTGCAGAATCCCTTTTTCAATTAAAGTTTCACCCATTATCTCTAAACAGGCTTATACTTTCAATCCTTATACCTTTTCCCTGTTTCTCTATATCTTGTTTCTGTCTTTTATAGCTTCATTTCCTTTCCTTCTTTCCTCTCTTCTTCTCCCTCACCTTTTTACCCCTTGTCTTTCTACTTCTAATTCTCTCTTCTGTAATCCCCTCTTCTGTTGCTTTCTAATATTGTAATTATTTTTCAAACTATTCTTTTTTAGTTGTTTTTTCAAATCTTAAACTTTTCACTTTCTTTCTCCCCTTTCCCCCCCTCCCCACATAAAATTACTTGATCATTAAAGATGGCTTCTTCTTTGTCCTGATCTTCTTGTTCTACAAGCGTTTCTTGTTGTTTCTCATAGTTCCAGATCTCCATTTGTAAGAGTTGAAATACGAAGCCAAAAGAACCTCTTCCTTCTTGTGCACCTTCTTTCTGTTTTTTAAGTTCCATTTTCAGTTCTTCTAAAAGTGATGCCATTTTAAACACTTTTAAACAACCACCCGATTGATTTTAGTCATTTAAATGCAATAGCCAAAAATCCAAAAATCACCAAGTAATCCAAATAATCCAAAGCTGTTTCTTCTTGCTTCTTTTTTCCACTTTCTCTTCCTGGGGTTCTATTATTTTGTTACAAAGTTTCAGTTAAAATGTATCTTTTAGGAATCTTGTTAAGGTTTCACTGTAAATTCCTTTTAGTTCCAGGCAGTCTCCTCCATTTTTCCAGATCCTGCCCTTTTATTCTTTTTCTCTCCTTTCCTGCTTTTAAAAGCTTTTAAATATCCAAAAATCTTTATTATCCCTTTGACATTTTATTTTCAGCTTAAATGCCTATTAATGTCAAAGTGGATTTTTGTCAATTTCTTGCTTAAGTCTCTAAGCTATCAGTATAAGGAAGAGAACAAAAAAAAAGCCAAATCCTTTCCCTTCCCTCTCTCCTTCGCTGCTTCAAGATCTTCTTTGGGAACAATGTTATTTTTTATAATTTAAATTCCAGGGTACTTTACGTTGTTGCTTTTTCAGTTTAACCCGGTCAACCAAAACTTTCTCTTCTTATCTTCCTCCTGCACATTCTTTTCCAGTTGAGTTCTTCTTTGAGGTGGCCATTTCTGACCACCGCTGCAACCGCCTTCAGGAAAGGGAGTAATGGCCAGCTGGGGAGAAGAGATGCGGCTCTCCTCGACCCTGCTGGCAGTGTCCCCCCTCTTCACCACCTCTACAGGGTGGCTTAGCCCCGAAACCAGCGGCTCGGGGCGCTCCGGCGGCAAGCATGGATCAAAACCGTGCATGATCGCGGATTTCGGTCTGTCGCTGAAGGAGCTCAAACTGGAAGTCAGATTGGTCTGTAATTTTCAACTAGGCTGGGGTCTCCCTTTTTGAAGATGGGGATGACCATGGCTTGTGAACATAGTTTTGGCAAGGAGCTGGTCCTGAAAGATTTTTCAAAGATTATGCTTAGAGGTTCGGCTATGACAATGGATAGCTTTTTTAAGAAGTAGGCACATATTCCATCCAGTCCAATAGATAGGGATGGTTTTAGATTGTGCAGTGCTTTTTCAACAATGTCTTCTGTAAAATCGATATGTATTTGATCATTGTAGTTGTCTGTGGCTCGACTAGGAAGTACTGGGCTTGATCCATTGCTGTTTACTGAGCCAAAGAATGTGTTAAAGAGGTTTGCTTTGATGGTGTTGTTGTTGCAGTCTTTGCCATTAGGTCCTTTCAGTGGTGGGATGGATCTTGAGTCTTTTAGTTTGTTGTTTACAAAATTGTAGAAAGCACGGGTGGAATTGGTGCGTAGAAGGTTTTCCTCTTGTTTAATGTGATAATTGGTGCATTCAGTCTTTATCTGGTGGCATAAATTTTTGTGTCAGCTTTTGAAGTTAGCAACATGACCAGATTTGTTTTTCCGCCAAAGTGATTTTTTTTTGGATTGAAGCTTTCTTATTGTTATGGGTAATCTGTTTTTCCTGGTTTTGGGAGTTGTTATTGGTACATATAGTTTGATGGCTCTTTTGACTTCAAGTAAAAATGTGTTGCAATGGTCTTCTACAGTATTGCATCCAGTGAATAGAAATTGCCAATCAAGGGATGAGAGATCGTTGTTTATAAGATCATAGTGGCCTTTTTTGAAGTTATAATTGGGGATTTTGTCGTTGTGATGATTTTTGTGTGGACGTATGTTGAGACAAAAGTCAATCATGTTGTGGTCACTGTTGGAAAAGGGTTCTTTAATTTGTATTCCGTAAATTGAATTCTAACTATTGCAGAAGATGAGATCGAGGCAGTTGTTAAGCCTAGTATTGTTGGTTACTAGTTGTTCCAGTCCCAGATTTGTTACAGCATTGTAGAAGGTTGCATGTATGGGTTCAGTTGTACATTCGTTTAGGGTCCAGTTAATATGAGGTAGATTGTAGTCACCAAGAAAGATAAAAGCGTGTGGGCAGGATGCTGCCCATGTTAGTAGTAGTGTATTTAGCTTGTTTACATGTTCGATGTCATAATCAGGGGCTCTGTAACATAGCAAGAACCAAAATGTGATATTTAAGGTCAGTTCACAGATAATGGTCTCAGGAAGAGCAAGCTCTTGGGTAACTTGGATGTTTTTTAGATGTAAGGACTTTTTATAGAAGATAGCAACATCACCTCCTCTACGGATTTCACGATCAGATTGGTAAACGTGATAGTCTCTTACTGAGGTAATGGTGTCAGGGAGAGATGCGTTGAGCCATGTTTCACAGACAAATGTAATGTCGTATTTAGCTGTATTTAGTAAGAGGAGAAATTCAGGTATTTTATTTACAAGGCTTCTTGCATTCAGTAGCTTGCATTTAAGGCCAGTTGTAGGTTGAATTGAGGTAGTTGGGGGCATGCGTGGCTAGTCTTGGGTAATGATGGATTGGTTGAAGTAGGGTTGGATGCTGAGTTGTGGGTTGTGTGACTTTCTTTTGATACAGTCTGCACGGTAATCAATGTACAGGTCCTTCTCTCCATTGTCTAGATGATTTTTGAGTTCTGTGCGTAGTATACGGGAGCGGGCACATTGCTGTAAGGTTACGTCAGGATGAGATTGGAGATTTTTATGGTTGGCGTTTTTGGTGAGTGAATTTATAGTATAAATGAATTTACGTTTGCTTAATTAATTTTTGCAGATGACCCTGCAGAAGCGTGGGGGTCACAGAGCCGTCTCTGTTTTTGAGCTCTCAACCAATGTGGGAAATGTCAAGTATTTCATCAGGGGAGATGGTTGATGCTTGATAGTCACTGATGATGTTGTGGACAATTGTGATATCATTATTATTGATGTCCTCCAGACCAAATAAGATGGCGTTAGGATGCTTTCGTTCATGCTTAACAGCTTCTCTGACGAGGATTGGGATATCATTATTTGTTGGATTTATGTTTTTTTTTTGTGGATTAGGTTGAAAAAATATGGAACGCTTCACGAATTTGCGTGTCATCCTTGCACAGGGATTATATTATATATTATTATATTATATATTATATTATATATTATTATATTATAAGAAGGATATAGAATAAGAACTTTACCTACTAAAGCTGGTGATGTTTAATCATTAAAAAGGATATGTGAACAATAGGCCAGAAGAATATTTTGTATAACCTTTTTATACTGGATTTACAACATTGATAAATGTTGGTGATTTTCTGAGAAAAGAAAAATAGATGAAAAGAAAGCATATGCTGGGATATTATTTGAGGGGACCGAGGATCAAGATTTTGGGAGTAAGGAGAAATGATACAAAAAGGGCTTATTTGATCAAGGATAAAATGGGCTTTGGTTATTTTTGCCAATTTTGAAAGGATTTTTTTAAACTAGAACTAAAAAATAATGTTCCAAGTTTTTGTTTTAATGATAAGAGGTTATTTGCTACATTTAAATTTTTTCTGATTAAGTTTAAAATAGTTGAGGTATCATTTTTGGTACTCTTTATTGGTTGTATTTGATTGGTTAGGTTGGGGGATTTGCTTAAGAACAGACAAAGAAATGTAAATATAAAAGTAGGAAATTAAGTAGATTTATTAGATTTATTATATTAAGTTTATAATAGATAGGTGTTTGTTTCTGGTAAACCTTACTGGACATTTACTGATTAGGAAGAAAGATGAGGATTTTTATGTTTATTGAGAATGAGGTAAGGTCTAAGGTGAAGTGGTTTGTTATGTTTTAAGAAGTGGTGATATGTTTTTAAGGTATATATTTGCTAGGAAGAAGGGAAGTTACTTCTTTTTTTTTTTTGTTCTTTGATTTACCCCCCACCCCATTTTTCACTTTTCTTTTTACTAGAGCTAGGAAAGCAGCAGCATTTTGTTATCTGCCATTCATGGATTGACGTTGGTTATTCATTCTGGAGAAGCAGGCAACAGACAATAATAATAGCAGACTGTTATATGAACATGCACTTTGGGATACACATGTGTTTGGGCCATGCAATCATCGGTCAACCTGCTAGATTTGCGCCAAGAGCTCCCAAGTCAGCAAAAGGATCCAGACTTTGTGGTTTGGCTTGATGTGTGGGGGTGTTGTGCAATGATCCTGTAGGGCTGGAAGCAGTTGATTTGCTCACCATACCTAGTTGATGTAAGAAGAGAGAAAGCACATTTACGAAATATAATTGAATGGCCTCAGAGCTGAAACTAGCACAATGCAATGCATAAACTAGTTGGCTACTCAACAGAAGCAAAGCATATCATTCATAGAATTGTAATTTGGAAATAGGTCTTTCTACAAGGTCTGCATTGAAGATATATTCAATTCAACAGCATTGAACAAGTCTCAACAAGCATCCAAATAACCTTTGGCAAACTAGAGTAGAAAAAAAAAAACATCTAAGTTACTTTTTCATTCAGTCATGTTATTAAGTAAACAGAGAAGAAAAAACTTGGCTTGTGTACTATAAAAAGGCTTTTGACAACTAGATAAATATAAATAGCAGCATGTATAACTTGTAGCACACATGCAATTTTAAAATCTCTATAATACATCAAATAGTTCTCTGGAGTTAATATTTTGCTATTTCATTAGGATTTCTGTACTACCTTTGGGCAGTTCTTCAAAATTTAAGATATTGAAGTTAGATGTGTTGTGTCCATTGAACAAGCATATTTTCAAAACTCAAGTAACAATTGCTGGAGGGTGATCCCCGCTTACATCCCTGATAGGAATCTAATTGCCACTTCATTTAGAGAGAGTCAGTTAGGTGTAGTGGTGACGGCACCAGGCTAAGAACTTGGGCTCAATAAGTTCTAATCCTGCCTTAGGCATAGATCCAGCTGTGTGATTTTAGGCCAGTCATTCTCTCTCAGCTCTAGGACAAAGGCAATTGCAAAACACTTCCAAAAATTTTGCTAAGCAAATTTAAATGACTGGTTCACCAGGAATCAATACAAATTTGAAGGCACCCTCCATCCCAATTAGTGCTATGTATGTCATCTTGAGCTCTTGAAGGGAAGGTGGGATATAAATCTTACAAACAACTACTTAGAAACAGATGATGAATGTCACAGTGCTTAGGTGAACGCCTTTCATATTAATCATCTTAAATATATTAGATATTAGTCTCACCCATTCAAGGTTGACTCAGCCTTCCATCCTTCCGAAGTGGTAAAAGAGGACCCAGATTGTTGGGGGCAATTTTAAACTGCTTAGAGAGGGCTGTAAAGCACTAAGTGCTATTGCTATAAATCATCTTAAACAGATATTAGTTTCAGACAAACCTGATTTACTAGGCCATTCCCAGTCTCCTGAAATATCTGGCTGAATGGAAACAGTTGGTGTACTGGAAGGACCTTAAAAGATAAACATTGCCATTTAGCAATATTTTTAAAATAATAATATAAAAAGTTATCTGTGCATTTGTTCCACCTTTTATCACATTGTTTCTGGGAAATTCACCATGTTTCTCATTAAATAAATATATATGCAATTTTCTCAAAATAAATAGCTTGTGAGTACAAGTTTCATCAGAAATGAATATCTAAAATGTTCTCAATTCATTTTCACAAAATCAATAGGCATGCTTTTTGTCATCTAGAAAATTCAGGTTCATGAACTTTATATAGGAAGAAGTTATCATGCAACCCTTAAAAACTGTCATGCAACAATGCCTATTAAAAATGCCTAAACCACAAGTAGCCAACATTCCTAATGGATACCAATGCACTACTATGTTCCCAATTCCATAGCATAGGCTGTTATGACTATTGTGTCCAGGTATTTTTGGACCTTCGACATTTTAGATTTTTATTTTTTTTTCAATCCTTTCCTTGTCCTTAGCTATGGATGCATAACCTTTGCTACGATAGTATAAATCCTGGAGTTGATCATATGTGCATAACCTCATTCTGAAATATTGGCAGGGTCAAAGTTCAAAAAATGGCTCATGTGTGAACTGGAGTTCTCAATACGGAAATATCAGCTGTGCCAATGTCCAGCAGATCATTGGGTGAAAATTGATATTATTTGCCACCACAAAGATTTTCTCCATGGTATTGGATGAAAAGCAGAAGGCAAAATATTGCTTCAGCAATTGAAAGCTTGGAAAATAAGCACTTGATACTCTGAGTATGAAAAAGGCCTCTACTTCAGGTCAACAGACAATGTTAATGACTTAATGTAAGCAAAAATTTCTCATGCAGCCACGCCACTTCGAGTGTCTGGGAAACATCTGCCAAGGTTGAATCAGATCACTGGGGTTGAACAGATTCCACATTTTTTGCAAATACGATCTTATTCACATTTTTTAAAAACTATGAGAGTTTTTCCAAAAAGCTTATTAATCACCATACAATGGTATGCTATTTGACCTGCAAACAATTTGAACTCTGTGGTTTATTGTTCTTAATTAAATGAACATGGATATTTTACTGCTGAGTAGATACTGAAGGATTCAATCTGGGTCAGTCATCAGAAAGAGAAGTTCCCTGAGGATGGCTCTAGCACGAGACTGAAAGCTCGGAATACTAAACCTCTGGTCCCGGTGACTGACCCAGATTGGATCCTGCAACATTATCCTTTATATCCCAGCAGTATATTTGCCTTCATTCATGAACAGTTCCTGTTCACAGCAGTATCTTAAAGAAATTGGAAAATAAAGCATCTTACTTCTTCCATTTGAAAATAGCCCACATTTCAAGAGGGAAAAGGTCAGTACCATTAATTGTTTTTCTCATAATTCAAAAATAAAAAAGACATCATACCCATGTTAAAAGGATCCCCTTGCACTGTAGGTGAAGGACTTCTTGTTGCTTGAAGAAAAGGATCACTTTTGGCATTTGATGAAAGGAAAGAGCCTAAAAGATCTGGGACAGGTTGCTTAGGACTACCCCCAAATGGGTCAAAGGCAGATGCTGGCGGGAAAAAGGTTAATTCTAAGAGCATGCTTCTCCTTTCTATTCCAATATTGGGCAATATACTTATATTTTAAAGAAATTGTGTAATATTCTTAACTTTACATAAACTGTCATTAAGGTGAACCACTGCCAAAGCAAGTGTCACAATTCTTTTAATATAATGGTAAAAATAGAAAAGGGAGATTGCAGCAGTCATTAGGTTGAGGAAAACAACATTGAACTCATGCTATGGGGATGATAGATGACACACAGCTTTCAACAAATACGTAACAAGAATGCCTGTTGTCACAATGTAAATAGGCAATTGCATTGGTAAAGGATTATATCTGCAAGGGCACGGGACATGCCAGTAGGTGTCATAACATGCCCTGCTCTCTTGGCATATACAATCCAGCTAGAGAAAGCACTCAGGTAAATAATACCTGGTTAGCATTACATCTAGTTGATAGAATTCACAATTCTTTGCAGAAACCAAGCAACCAGAGTAGCAGTAGATAAAATCAGCAAGAGCCTAATAAAGCATTGGTTGTTAAAAATTGATTTTTTTTTCATCTTGCTGTCCTTATTGTCTCCTAGCTTTCCTCCTACTGTTTAAAGATCAGTTGTTGGGATCAAAACAACAAAAAGTGTGGTTCTGGCCTGGATCTTACATTGCCTATATTCATAGTCTCTCTCTTGAAATATACAATTAGGCTAGAAAGGATTGAAAATATACACAAGAAACTCTCCCATTCTCTTATCTGCTGTGCAATACTATGCTTGTTCTACAAAAAAAATCCAGATTTTCCTGAGTTGCATAAAATAGGGGAAGTGAAGAAACTGCTGGTAAATAGGGAAAATTGGCCAGCACTAAATGGAAGTCTTTACATCTGAGTTCTGAGGAGAGATTTTTTTAAAAATCTTCTCTCCACGTCTTAAAATATAGCAGTTAGTAGCTGTACAGACTAATAATCACGAAGAGTAATGTATAAATCCAAAGGAAGACACAACTCTTTCATGAGGAATCTTGTTTGGCATCAATTGCTTAAAGTGAACTTTGTTTGTAAAGCACTGTAAGGTTATGGTTAAGATTTTTTTTTTACCTTCTCCTATTCTTGGGGACAACGATGGGGAGGCTGAAGATGCAGGCCGCCGTGGAGTTGACTGTGCTGAACCAGTTCCACCCATCTGAAAGACATCTTCAACAGCTCCCTGACCGCCTTGATTTAATCCTCCAGAATTTCCAACCCCAAAAAGGTCACTCAGCAAGTCTGAGTTAGATGGTGGTGCAGTGGGGGCTGCTGGATAGTTCATAGGAGTGCCGTCCAAACCTAAAAGATCTACATCCTCTTGTGGAGGTGGGCCTGGCTTCTCTGGCTGCTTTTTGCTGTGCTTTGAAGTGCTGTGAATTTTGTCAGTGCTAGTGCCACTGTGCTGACTGGAGAGGGATAAGAGTTCGTCATCAGATTGCTCGCTTTCTTCATGGACCAGTGCTGCCCTGTCCTCAGAGCTGGGATGAGAACTGGTTCTTTCTGCCTTTTGATCTAAGTAGTAAAAACAGCTTAATGTTAGCTAGCGACTTTGTGGTTCTTCTAAGGCAGAAAAAAAAATCCTTGGGGCGAAAACAGCCCCATGTGAAAGCAGACAATACCAAGAATAATAATTAAGTACTATTGTTTGATTCTCAATGCACAGAGAACATCCAAAATATAAATGAATGTATGGTGTTTGCATTCAAGTGATTTTACAGCCATACATTTCTGTGTGGAGATAGCAAGAATAAATCTGGCTGGCTCAAAAATGTGAACTAAATTCCATGCGCATGCAGGTATTTTGTATAAATTAAAGAATGCCTGCGGAATATGGCATAATACGTACGAGATCCCTGAAAAGAGGCTGGAAGATGAAGGAGGGAAGGAAACTAATAATGAGCTGTGAGTTCTGAAAGACAGATTACTTAAGGAGAAATCATATGTACCTTGCCAGCTGAGAGATGACAAGAATGCACCCTGGCCAACATTCTTTAGGTTATCTTGCACTGCATCTACAGAACTTCTACCTATAATGTAAAAGGAGCCCAAAGAAATCAAAGATGAGTGGATTTAAAATAGCCAAGCTTGATATTTTCATGAAAGCTGAAATCTCCAGTCTTTGGCCATGCTGACTGGGGATTTGATGAAGTGGAACTCATCGACTATGTGGGCACCAGGCTGGGGATTATTCCTCCAGATAAAACAACTGTCTTCCTTACCTGCCAGAGCAAGAGTGTCTTGATGTTCCTGAGGCGATGAGAAAAGAATGCTCGGGTTGATGTCTTTTGTGGTGAAATTCTCCCATGGAGGAGTTAAGTCAGTCTGCCTATCAGTCGAATCTACTTCCATTTCCACAATGATATGGAAGAGATGGGGATATTTTTCTGGTGAATCACATGCGTCCAGCTCAGGCCTAAAGATTCAAATTAATTCAAAGAAATGGTTTGAAGATCACCTGTTAAATCATATTTTGAGCCTGAATATAGTAGTGACAATTTACTTATACAATGTGATTCTTTTTAATTAAAGGACTAATGTTACTAAGGAAGAAGTCCTATAGAAGTTCCTAATAAAAATTGATTTAAGATTTAAGTATCTGAACCTTGGCGTGCATTTCTCATTGGAAACAAAGAAGGGTATTTTGGACTTAATGTATTTATTTATTTTTATTGATTTATTTATTTGATTTGTCAATCGCTTACAAGATAATAGATATAAGTATAAACATGAGTAAGAATACAGGAAATAGGTATGAATAAATGGGGACAATAGGACAGGGACGGTAGGCACGATGGTGCACTTATGCACTCCCCTTACAGACCTCTTAGGAATGGGATGAGGTCAATAGTGGTTAGTTTGAGGTTAAAGGAGTGGAGGTTAGGTTCCCAGACTCCAAATGAATAAATGCAGAAAATGTTTCATAGATGCCTGAAGGAAAAGATATATACAGTTCCTTTTAAGCCAGGTAAAAAGGTTCATTCACATTTAATGTTTTCTTTGATGAAAACCTTGTTCAGCTTGAGATAATTTTACAGAAATCCGTGACCCAACCAAAGTATTCACAGAAGAAGCTATGATCCTTGTAGCCTACTCAACACCTCTGTTAATACATCTCAGTTACTATCTCCTGAGCACTGACTTATTTCTTCAGCTAACAGAAAAGAGAAACAGAATTATTAGTGCAGCTGAAAGAACTTAAAGGTAATTCTCTGGCTGAGTTAGCGCTGTTAGCTTCTCTAATTACCTAGATTCATCTCTATATAGGGGCTGGTTTGCAGGCTTCTGAGTGCTGAACCTTGCTCACTACTCAGATATTACATGAATCATGTAGGACAGAGCTGTCAAACTCATGTCCTCACGGTGGTGTCATGTGATGTATCACAACTTTTCCGCTTCACTAAACCAGGCATGTGGCACATCCACGGGCCACGAGTTTGGCAGCCCTGATGTAGAATATCCAACCCTGATGCAGAAAAATAAGTTGAAATTAATTTTAAATTCCCATGTGGTCTAAATTTTGGAATAATTCGGCACTATACCATGAGTTTATTAGAATCTGCTTGGGCTTAATTTGATTTATTCAAAATTAATTTTGATATGTTGGATGTTTTACTCACTTTTTGCAGCTAAATGTATTTCATTAATGCATTGTAATTATTCTTATGCAATTATATTCTATAACTTATTTTCAAAAATTCCTGTTTTGGAGGTAAAGTAAATATTTCTTATAAAGATATTTATTACAATAAGACCTCATAATATCCATTTTCATTCAGTTCAGTGTTCTAGAGATACTTACTTAGTAAATTTTAATGTTGTTGATTCCAGAGGTACAAATCCAGTGTGAAACTGAATCTGGAACATTTGTGTGTTTGTCATCTGTAAACATCATTAAATACATAATTTTAAAATTAAAGAAAACCATAGCAAAATTCAAATGTTTATCATGGAAGAACTATCAAGTCAGTTGTATTCACTTTATTTTATTACAATAGGAATCAAAACAAAACAAAAAATATTGAAGCAATGAAGAAATAATAATTTGGTCTAGAGAGCCAATTTGCTCTAGTGATTAAGGCATCTGGCTAGGAACCAGTAGACTGTGAGTTCAAATCTCACTTTAGGCATGAAAGCCGACTGAGTGACTTTGGCGTAGTCACTTTCTCTCAGCCTAACACATCTGATAGGGTTGTAGTTGTGAGGAAAATAGGAGGGGGAAAGAGTATTGACTATGTTTTCAGCTATTTATTTAAAAATGGGAAATAAATCAATAAATCATTAATTTGTTCACTTATTGTTGAATTCAGACTAGTGGCACATCTGTACATTCCCCTCTCCCCAAACTTAGAATCAAGGTATCTCACTAACTGTTTTCTAAGACCAGGGGTGTCAAACTTACATCATCACGGTGGCATCACATGACATATTGGGACTTTTTCCCCCTTCGCTAAACCAGGCGTGGGTGTGGCCAGTATGTGACACACCCGGCCCATGGACCAGGTGTTTGACATCCCTGTCTAGGACTGTGAACTAGGAATCATTGGATTTTGCTGACTGATTCAGGGCTAGATTAAGGCTAGCTGATGCAGTAAATGCAGACCAACGACAATGTCCATTGGCCTCTCCATTGCTTAACTCAGGGTACACCCAATAAGTGATTAAAAGCTAAAGTTGAGTTTGGCATGAAAGGGTTAAAGGCATGATAGCTGGGGGGAAATACACTGTGGTGCCCTAAGCACATTCTTATTTTGCTTAATGGTTGATCCAGGGCTGGACTGTTTGTGGAAGCAGTATTTTTCATATTACTCTTGACACAACCCTTGCTATATGCATGATGTGTGTTGCTTCTGCAGCAACCATGGTAATGAATGAACCTGCCCACTTCCTATTTGCTGACACCAAGTACTGGTATGAACAGAATATTTCAGCAACAAATTTGTTCCTTCAGCTACCAAAGAGTTTTCAGTAAGAAACATCACAACTTTTCTAAATTTGCTTTTTTTATATATACAAACATTTTAACTAAGAGAAACTACTGATTACTCTAACAGTCTTTCTGAGTAATATGCTTAAATCCAATGTTTATCTCATACTATTAAAATATTTTAGATCAGCTAAAGTTCCTGAATGTTTAACCTTGCATTTAAAAAATACATCAAGTCATACTTTAGCTTGCAGCCGTCCCCCAATGGTGGATCTCATATGGTAGACAGAAACAACTACATCACCATGGACAGTGACTCCTAGTGGAATAACAACTTTTCCTTCTTGAACACGGAATTCCCTAAGGAAAAAGCAAGCAGAACATTCTGCCTAACGTGATATTCATAAGGAATCATAACATAGAATTCAAATTGAACAATGCATTATAACCCAGCAGTTGAACATTGCAGTTCAGTGTAGTTGAGTTGGATGGAGTCAAAAGCTCAGTGCTGGGATTAAAATAAAAATATTGTTCATTTTTATTCTGACTTATAAATGTAATGATCGGGCTATTCTCAAAAACTGTTTAATTCATAGATTATACAGACAACAATTCATATAGTAAATACTATACAACTCATATGACTTTCACTGCACCTCCATGTAAGCTGTTTATGACCCAACATTATCGTGTATTGACATAGTATTAGCAGACATGTGGCATTCAAGCTGCTCAAAAGCAAAACTTCAGAGGAAGGCACAAAATATCATCAAATGTATGGAATGCATGAACCGTAGATGCATGAAAGGGTTGGCTAATTGATGTCAGTCTGAAGGGAGGTGTGTGGATGGATGGATGAATGTAGGATATCTTCACAGATATGAACACTTCAGGCAACTGAGATTTCCATCTCCCTGAAGGAAGCAGTAGCTGCTGAAATCCAATCAACATCAATCATAATTGACTGAAAGCCTGGGTGCCTAGGTCATGTGGAATTAGCTCACCTGTGCTACCATAGGTATATACATATTAAACAACCAAAGTGAGATTTTATCAGTACAGTCAGCAGAGAGCAGCTTACTTCATTCTTTCATATTCCAGTGATGTTGTAAATATTCTAGTTTCTCCAATAAGGATGTCACAGAAAGGTCGGCAGCCATTTCTCTGCTTGTTGAAACAGGGCACTGGACTAAGGAGGACTGATTTGATGGTTATAGGCTTGCAGTGAGGCTGGACAGGTTTGTCTGCTATTAGATCACAAATATACCCTAAATACCTGAAATGAAAAAGGGAATTCATAAAAATCTACATGTATTCTTTGTTCTTTGGCTCTACAGGGAACTTGGTTGATTATCATAATGAAGATTTTCAACAGCACATCCTAAAGTCAAGAAAATTTAATTTTTAATGCATGCTTGCCAACATTAATGTCAAAAGAGCAAATGTAGTGAAAAATCCTGAATGAATCAAGGGAAAAAACAAATAAAAATATAGATTTGATATATCTGACTTAAAAACTATAGAAACAAGCTCTCCCTGCCTCTAAGATAATGAGCACTTAGTATGGAAAAGTGACAAAAAATTCTGCTTCGTTTTGCTGCTGCTTTTCTGAAAACCATCCTTTCTAACTATTCCTATTTCCATCTACCCATCAACCAGTTGGATGGCAAGCTGCCCAGAAGAGCACAGGTCCCAAAATAAATTGTGTGTAGCCCATGCTCAGCCTTGCCATAGAATTTAATCAGTTTTCCCAACACTATTGTCCCCACACCACCCCATGGGTGTTATAGTATAACTTCTATCATGAGTCCCACTTGGGAAGATAGAACCAGGCTAAGGAAGTCTGATGTAGACGTTTCTGTCCAAATAACATCTTTCTATTTTTGAAAAGGTGATGACTTCCTGTCTAAAACCATATCTTTATATTCTTTGGGAATAACTGAAGATTCTTGCATCCACATAATTGGAAGAGTCTAACTTTAACAGGACTCTCTCGATATATGTTTGAGGATGCAGCTATAGAAAAACAGAAGTGTAAAAAGCTTCAATAACATTGAATGCTTGACACTATCATTGAAAACCTTTTAAAACACTTGCCAAGCTTCAGCCATTCAACCAAATTTGATAAAACTGTTTACATTGATTTGAGTGCAGTTAGGAAGCTGTTAGAGAACCAGTTTGGTATAGTAGTTAAGGCACTGGGCTAGAAACCAGGAGATTGTGAGTTCTAGTCTTACATTAGGCACAAAGCCAAATGGATGACCTGGCATTAGTCACTCTCTATCTCAAGGGTCTTCAAACTTGGCCAATTTAAGACTTGTGGACTTCAACTCCCAGAATTCCTGAGCTAACATGACTGGAGGAGGAATTCTGGGAACTGAAGTCCACAAGTCTTAAATCTGTCAAGTTTTAGGTTTTTTTTAACAAATTTTATTCAGTTTTTCACATTAAAAACAAAAATCTTTTTAGTGGACAACATATTTCCGGGTCATCAACTTTACATACAAATATGACAGCAATTATACATTCATATATGCATACTTAATTCTATTATTACCTTTTCCATTCCAAATTTTCAGTAAGGAGAGAAACAAACACATTAATTCTAGCCTCTTTCATTAATCTCAATCAAAACTTCTTTTTGTTTCATTTCAATTATTTCAAATATAATCCTTTAATATTTATTTTAAAAATAAAGATAAACAAAATGTTTGCCTAATAATAATAACAACAACAACAACAATAATAGGTTACCAATGTCTCTCCTTGCTTTTAATAGTCTATATTAACTTATTAATTTAGTTGGTTCTTTAGTCTGTCATATTCCCTTTCCATTTCACATTCTTTTTATAAATTCTAGATTAATACAAATTTTAACACTAAAGAAAAAAAAACAAGTATAGGTTTCCTCCCTTTTACTGCTTTGAGTGTAACACCTCAATGATTAAAATATACCTTTATTCTCTCATCTTGATTCCCAATAAACCATTATTTTTAAGAAGTTACAAAAATAATCATTACATCTTTTCATTTGGATTCCACAGCATATTTTCCCCCCTTAATTTTAAATAAAAGTTAACAGTATCTATATTACCCTATTTTCTAAATATTTTTAATTGCAGAAATATTCTTATTACCCCTTGTCACCCTGCAGAATCACCTTTTTAATTCATCAACCATTATCTCTTAAAAAACAATTTCTTTTCAACGTTTTACTATTTCCGTATTTCTTTATTTCATGCACCTGTTTCTTACTGCTTCTCCTCCCGCTCTTTTCCCCATATCTTTTCTCATTCCAGTTTATATCCCTCTCTTTCTTAATATCTTCCTTTCCCCTTTTCTGCTGGGTCTTTCTGTCTTTCCCGACTTCACAGGTATTCCCCCTTTTGATTGCCTTCTTAAGTCTCAACTTTTTAACCTTCCTTCTTTCCCCACTTCTTTGTAGTGTTCTTTGTGTTAAAATGTCTTCTCCTTGAGTCGACTCCTCCTCTGAAGCTTTTTCTTCTTGTTCTTCAATCACCATTTCCATTTTTTCTAACACAGAGCAAAGTGATTTGCCTCTTTCCTGTAGTAATTCTCTCATATTTTTAAGTTCCATTTTAATTCCCGAAGAGATATCATCACTACACACTCTTGTATTTTATGATCGTTAAAGTCCACAAAAAAAACAAACACTTTTACTTTCCTTCTTTCTTCTTTCAATTTTCTAAAGTTCTCAATTATTCCAGCCCACGGTCTATACCAAAAACATCAATCAATCCCACAGTCAGTCTTTCCTTGCTTTTTTCTTTATTCTGGTTCTGCTTTCACTTTCTAAGATTCTTACTTTGTTTCAATATTTCTTTATCCACACAAGTTCATTCAGAAACAAGATGTTTTCCTTTTTGTTTGAGCTCAGGTTTTTGTCAGAAGGTGACACTCTCCATTATACAAAGTCTTCACCTTTTCCCCCTATTTTTTATTTAGGGTTTTTTGAATCTCAATATTCCAACACAGTCCAGTCTCCAATTTGTAAATATTCCAATTTGTTATTATTATTTTTTGACAATCTTAAGTCCAGCTTTATTTTATGCCTGTTTATTGTCAAAATATTTTAGTCCAATTTAGTTAAATCTTTAGTTCCGGCTTCTTCCTTTCCCGGTTTGAAGCCCCGCTTAGCTGTCAAAAATATTTTCTTATTTTTTTTCCTGTCCTTTTGTCATTTCACCGCTCACTTTTCTTTTCTTAAAAATTCCATGTTACCTTAATCCCGGGGTACTTTTGTTTAGTTGTATTGCTCAGTTGTCCCGGTTCAGATGTCATCCACCTTTTTCTTCCCTCCTGCACAAAGCTTAATCCAGTTGAGTCCTCCTCTTCGGGGGTGGTCATTTTAAACCACCGCTGCAATCGTCTTTGGGGGGAAAAAGACCAAGCCCAGGAGGGGAGATGCGGCTCCCCTCAACCTGGCTTGCGGCTTCCCCTTACTCCGCCGCCCCTCCAAGGCAGCTTCAGCCCCTAACCATAATGATCGGGGCTCTCCAATGAAAGAGAGCCGCAGAGAGTCACGATCTATGGTCTGTCAGCGAGGAGACTTCGCCTTCCAAATCTGTCAAGTTTGAAGACCCCTGCTCTATCTCTATGCCCTGGGAAAAGGCAATGACAAAAATTCTTGCTATAAAAACTGCAGGTATTTGCCCAGGTAGTCACTAGGAGTCAACACTCTCTAAGGAAAAATAAAAAATAAAGATAGCTGTTGGTGTTAAAAAGGAATGAGATTGACTAAAATCTGGATCCAGAAACTAAGAACCATGATGGTGCAGTGGTTAAAATGCAGCATTGCAGACTAATTCTGCTGACTTCCAGGAGTTTGATTCTCACCCACTCAAGGTTGACTCAGCCTTCTATCCTTCCAAGATTGGTAAAATGAGGACCCAGATTGTTGGGGGCAATAGGCTAACTCTGTAAACCGCTTAGAGAGAGCTGTAAAGCACTGTGAAGCAGTATATAAGTCTAAGTGCTATTGCTATTGCTAAGTGAATTAGTATCCCCTGATATAGCAATAGCACTTAGACTTATATACCTCTTCACAGTGCTTTATAGTCCTGTCTAAGCGGTTTACAAAGTCAGCATATTGACCCCAACAATCTGGGTCCTCATTTTACTGACCTCAAAAGGATAGAAGGTTGAGTCAACCTTGAGCTCGGTGAGATTCGAACTGCCAAATGGCAGGCAGTCGGCAGGCAGCAGAAGTAGCCTGCAATACTGCATGATATAATACAGCGGTTGCCAACTGGTGGGCCGCGGCCCACTGGTGGACTGTGGCAAAATTTTGGTGGTCTGCAGAGAAATGGCAGAGTAATAGCCCACGAAAGCAATTAATCTGGGCCACGTGGGAAAACAAGGCTGCTCTGCCCACATGGCCCACCCACCCGCTGACCCCCACCCTTTGGCCAAGCGCAAACCTTGAGACTGAGTAGAGAGTCATGTGAGCTGCACCTGGAAGGTAAGACCAATGGTGGGTGAGGGAAATCCACCCTGGGGTGACTTGCTAATGTTGGTGGGAAAGTTGGTCCCATATTCCAGAGATGTAGTAGTCACAGGACTGGCCATTTGGCCATCCCAGAGCAGTTCCTCCATCAGGATGACTACACTCTGAAATATGGGACCAGCCCATGGTGGCTGGAATGAGGTAATGGTGCTGGGGTGGGCTGCGGGCTGAAGTGTGGTGGCTGGAAGAAGCAGTACTCACATTTGCATCTCCCTTCACCACGATATATTTACAGCAGCTGGTGGCGCCAAGGCAGCCCCTCGTGTCCTGCCACGTCTGTAGTGCAGCAGAGAGAAGCAGCCTGAGTCAACCCTAACCCTGCATATGCTAAATTGGCCCCTGCAAACTGTTGTCTCTGTAGCTGAAGCGGTGTGAGCAACCGGCCGGGCTCTCAAGAGACAAGAGTGACTCTAGCTGCTTCCCTCGTATCTCTCAAGGAGCGCCCGATAGCTTGGCTGGAGGGGGAACCTCTCTCATCCCCCACTCTGCGAGGTGGGTGGCGGGGAAGCGGCACTTGGGAGGAGCAGATCGGCCAGTGCCAGGCTCCGGGGTTTCTCTCCCGCTGAGGGTGCAGCCATCGGGCAGGGAGGAAACAGTGCCCGGCTCTCCTCCCGGGGCAGGAGAGGTAAAGAACAGCAGAAGTGGCAGATGGAGGGCTGATGGAGGAAAGCAACTCTCCTCTTGGGGGGGTGAAGGTGTCAACCTCTCCCCCTTTCCTTGCCTGCCTCCAGGTGAGGCTGGAGGGCAGCAGTCCTTCTGCAGGAAGCTGCCTGCTGAGAAGCCCCTGGAGGGGTGGCCGAGGGGTGCTGCCCCTCAAAGAGAGCAAAGCCCCCTTTCTGCCTCTGCTTCTCCCATCGGCAGTTGCCCCAAGGCCTCTCAGCTCAGACCCTCCCTTGCTCTTCTGTCTCTTCGGAAGGTGCAGGTGGGGGGAGGGATGGAAGCAGCCCTGCCCTCCTTCCCTCCCCCAACTCCAACTCCAGGCAGCCACGGTTATAATTAAATAAGTGTGTGTGTATGTATGTATGTAATACATATATATATGTGTGTGTGTGTGTGTGTGTGTTTTCTCAAGTTTGCACGGGTATTTATATGTATGGTATTCAGCTTTGTTCGTGTATTTCCGGGTCATTTATTTATATATATATATATAGTACATGCAGACACATAATTTTTAATATTAAATTTATATTTAATATAAAAAATTCAAAATTTTATATTAAATATATTATCATTTTTTTAAAATTCATATTAGTGGTCCTTGGGATTTAAAAGTATGAGTTCGGTGGTCCCTGAGGTTCAAAAGGTTGGCGACCCCTGATATAATATACATTACACATGATTTGCCAGTCCTAAAGTACATTTACTATACCTTCTGTGGGATGGCCAGAGTACTACTCCAGGTCTCTTTGAATTTAGCAATTGAACAGCAGAAGCTGGATTAGAAAAGAGATGACAGAAACAGAACATTGCACTGACCAAGACTGCTGACGCCACACGACCATCCTGTCAAGACAAAATGCAAGAGCCTCAATCAGGAAAATTTCACCTTTCAAATGAGCCATGGTTTTTTGTTAAACACACACAAAATCTTTTAAACAAGATCTGCTCAGTGCTGCTTTGAAACTAAAGCAGAAGCTCTGCAGAAACTCGTGAGATGCTTCTCTCTGAAAAAAAATGTTCATAGGATTACACCGAATTCACAGGATTAAACAGAAACAAACATTTGACAGGTCAATTCTAATGCATCAAAGGATGTTTTTTAAAAAGGTAAAAAGGAAAAAAAAATACACAAGTGCTTCCCATGCAAAGGAAAGACCGTTAGACACTGACAGTGAAAATTCCTTCTAGTGTGGTGTTATGGAAACATCCAACAATGGGTTAAAAACTAGAATGGGATTGTATGAGATACATTTACAATTGGCACTGTATCTCAGCTGGAGATAGACTACAACAAAGCAAGTCCATCAAATAGAAGATGAAGAACAAATAGGGTAGAATTTTTCTCTGTTTCCTTCTAATGTAATCCAGAGGTGCAGAAGAAGAAAACAGCATCCTACCTATGGTTCCCAGCTATGCCAGAAGTGAGTCATCATTGATTAAAGTGTACTTAGAGCATGTCTGTCACAACAAACCAGAACAAATTACAGACAGTAAGTGTCCAATACTCCAATAATCAGTTTGATAGAGAAAAGCTTCCAGCTGTGGGATGTAGTCAAAGTAATCCAATATTGTTATTAAGAAGAAAATTCTGTAACATTCCTTTCCACAAATCTTTGATCTTCAGAGCAATCTGATAAATAGACAACTTTATGGCCTTCAAATGTTAAAGATTACAACATTCTTGAATTCCATGCTTCATGGTCAATTGTGCGAAATTATAATGTTGGTAGTTAAAAACATTTGGAGGGCATCAGAATGGATATCACTGCTGTAGAATTTAGTAAATATATAATTTGCATGGAAGCCATATGCAGAAAAATCTGAATATGTGGCTTCTCCCAATAAAGAAAGCAGCAACTTGAAGGGGTTTAAAGAGGAGTTGTCCCTTACATACTGAGGCAATGCACGTCTTCCACTGCATTGCTGATACAGAGTTAGGACAGTAGGACAAAAAATAATAATAACCAAAGTGACGTGTGAAGAATCTTATCAGACAAATAAAGATTTTGCATGCCTGTCTTCATCCAATCTGTTGGCCAACCCTGTTGGCTTTCTGGAAAGATGTAAAGGCCTGGCTTTTCCACCTGGCACTGTAGGAGTCTCCACCCAGTTTATTTTTAGTGGATCTGTACAGCTGGTTATTTTATTTCTATTTACCTCCAAGAGTTCCTTAGTTGGAGGGGTGGCTATATAAATTTGCTAAACAAACAAAACTTTTTAGGGATTTGTGAGAGTTCCAGGTAAAATAAGTTCCATAGAACTGTGAAAGGCCATGGCTAGATGTACACATCACACAAAAGCAAAATTATTGTAGCCTGGTTCAAGTGCCACACTAAACCACAAACCACCCTTTACAAGCAATGACAAATATAGTTTAATGTGATATATGAAGTTTGCCATTGTTTACCTTTGATATGGAATGTTAAATATGGAGGACTGTGTCTGTCTTATAGAATAAGCAAGTGTGGAATATACAACAATTTAAGTGCATTTTTAAAATAGTGGGATAATTATTTAAATAAATAAAAATGGAATATGATAGAGATATGCTCATTATCCTGATATAGTTCTGACTAACTTTTATCCATGACAGTTTACCTTGAGGGAGTAAACTTCTAGTAAGATGCTACATTACTATATGGTCCATGGTGTTCTTTGAGCTTAGTTGTTTTCTGCAAGATCAAGGACCACAAGTTCCACCCTGAGCTACAAATATTCTCTTCCATCAATTACGGTATTGTACCATGGAATTTCTATGGGCAATACTTAAGTGAATCAAATCTACCTGCCTATTCCCGAGTCCTAAAACTAGAACAGCTTCCCTATACAAATTGAGTTAGATTTTGAGAGCTAGTATCTTATTATTAATGAACTTGCCTGCACCTTCTGATTTATAGCTTCTTTACTATAAAAAATCTGTTAGTTTTTTTAAAAGAAAGCGAGGTATAATTGCCTGTTCTCCGTATTATAATTTCAAGACAGCACAAGTAGTCAAGATTTGAGTGACAAAAAGCTGTTTACAGAAGGGAAATAATGGTGAATTTGTTTCCCTTACATGGATCTCTATGAATCATCGTTCTGTTGTGTTGTGTGCCTTTGAAGAAATGGAAGAAAATGTCTTACTTCATTCTTTGTTATTTTAGGATGTCAATAACTTATGAATCACTTATCAGAAGGGTGAAGAAAGGGGTATCTGGGAAAATTACTAGAAATCTAATAAATGACAATAGTATCAACTAAATGACAAATATAATTCCAGGATGATCACATGGAATTCCACAAATACTGCAGTTGATCTCTACTAGTATTCCTATACCACTTGGCATTGACCAAGTCTCTCCAGATAATTTATCTGGATAATAGTATCCTAGGGACAGGATTTCTTCATGTGGGTTACAAAAAGTCATCAACAATTGGAACAGCCTTACCTCTGGTGGCAAGTAACCATCTTTGAAGTTGCTTGGGGGAAAATCAGGAGAATCCATTAAAAGAGGCAACAATGCCAATGTGATGGTGATCTCCATACAAAAATGCTTCAATTCTAGGGTATGTCAAGGTGTATCATCTCTGCAACTTGGTGGACTCTGATGGCCAGCTGTCAAAAGTCTGTTGGTGGAGAAGGGGAATAACTTGCTTGATCTGTCTAGCATGGCTCCCAAATGAACCATTTGCTAATGACATCATCAGCTTTGCTAAATTCTAGAAGTAGATGCTATACTGATTAGAGGGGATGCTGCTAACAAACAAACATGATAAATTGAGGAATCTGCAAATAGGAATGATAGGAATATGACAGAGGAAGAGATATGTATTGTTTTGACTATTTTAATGACGTGTATGCAAAACTGTGGATTATCAGATACTTGTTTGATGTGCAAACAATCAATGTTGGTCCCCACATTATTTCTCAGAGAAAACGGAATAAAACATATGGGATCTTACTTAGAGGAGGCATTATTGTTCTATATTTATTATATTTACATCACTTAAGGATACAGAGGTTGAAGACAACTGAAATTTATTCTTGGTCTTGGCTGGCTCACAAAAAATAACTTCCTATACTCTTTGTTGTTAGTGAACAAAAGCCTTCCAGGTATAGAAGGATAGAAAAAGTCTTGACTCATGGATGAGCAGGGTCTGACATGACAAGTGAAGAACTAAGTGGCATACAATTTTATGAAGCCTGTACTCAAAAATCCAAATGCCTTGAAAATTATTTTACTGCGTTTTAGGGAAGCAAACCATTGTTCCCTGATTTGCTTTCCCAGGGCCTCAATTATACCCATAATCTATTTAATATTTGGGTAGTCTCAATATTCTGGTCAAGCCATAAAGAAAAAGCCATAAAGGAAGCTAGAAGGGAAGTTTGATTGGCTTGCAAAGTCATCTTAGATTGGCAGAGAAATGGCAGAGAACCCTCATTCGGGCACCTTTGCTCAGAAAATTCTGGTATCATTAAGATATAAAATAAGAGTAACCCAAGATAAGCAGATGTGACTTCTAAAATTGTGCCCTTGATCCTCAACCTTTCAATCTACATTATTGATTCCTGGGAAAGTTGAAAAGTAATGACAGAGTTAGCAAAAAAAAAAAAGTTTTGTTGTATCTGGAAATTCTTATTGATAGTATAGGACAGGGCTCCCCAAACGTAGCAACTTTAAGACTTGTGGACTTCAACTCCCAGAATTCTCCAGACAGCTGTGCCAGATTTAAAGTTGCCAGATTTGGAAATCTCTGGAATAGGAGAACAGTAAATGTCTCTCTCTTGTGAACCTTGTTCAGGAAAGATATTAACAATCAAGCCAAGAGATTATATAGAGGTGCTGCCATTTAACTAATGCTTTCCTTCATTAATCTTTTTTTAAAAAATCATTTTAGCTTTTGTGTTCAGATGTGATATATCACATTATTTTAAACAACCATCCGCCAGCACAACCCTTGGTATTTCCTTCCATGCATTCAATATGTTCTCTCTGCCTTAAAAACTTCATCCTCATTACAGCAAAAACTATTTAAATTAGAAAAATCAAGAATTGGCATAACGCTAAACTGATTGTGCTGCCCAAGTGACTAATGTTTCCTGTTTTACCTAAATTGTAACTCCTGCTGATGCTTTTTAGAAGACACTTTTTACCTGGAGTTTAAAAGCCTGACTTTCTCTATTACACATAGTTATACGAAAGTGATATATTCTCTATTACACAGAGTTATTGTACGTTGCCTGATAAGTGTGTTCATTTTCTCTGACTTTGCTAAAATCCTCAGGAAAAGGACAAAATATTTCTTAATGCTGTGCCATTTCACTATCTCTTCTTTACTATGGCAAGAAGTTTTACAATGGATTTAATTTTTATTCTTATTTATATTTTCTGAGACTTTTCAGACATCAAGCAAAGTTTTGTGTGAGCATCATTAAATCACTTCTCTAAATATTCTACTTCCCCTGTTTTACTGAAATGAAAGCATTAAATGTGTTGAATTCTCTACAGACTCCTTAAAATCCCTAGCATAATAATTAGCAAACTGTTAATTGTACAGTAACTATTAAACTAGTGGTGGGATTCAATTTTTTTTTTACTACCGGCTCTATGGGCGTGGCTTGGTGGGTGTGGCAGGGGAAGGATACTGTAAAATCTCCAGTCAGAGGTGGGATTTGCCGGTTCTCTGAATTACTCAAAATTTCCATTACCAGTTCTCCAGAACTGGTCAGAACCTGCTGAATATCACCTCTGTGTTGAATATTTCAATGGTAATCTGATTCCTTTCTTTGCAATCATTAAGTGATAAACTGAATTAATAAATTGTATTGTTTGGTTTTAATTTTTTTGCTTCCTCAAGTCATATGCCTGTTTAATAACTTAAACAGTCCCGCTAGAATTAACACTGTGGAAGACTCAAGACTGTTCTAGAATTGCTAGGCATCTCCTGACATCAAGTGTTTATGTAAGACATAAAAGGAACAATAATATCTAAAGTACTGCTCAGGGCGAATACATTTTGTGTTGCCCATGTAGGGTGTAATGTCATTTTCAGGCCTAAAATAAAATTATTTTAGCACTCCACAGGGATCATGATATTTTTGACTCAGTGCAAATGCCAGTCCAATTTTTGAAAGAACTTCTACAACACACTGAATTTCCTGAGGAACTAAAACTCTCCAAGCAACTGAGTAGGTGGTAAATACTTTAAGCAGCCTTTGCTTTAGTTTTGATGTGTTCAGAAATATAACAAGCATTAAAATAATGACAGGCTACATTTTTTTTTCTATATATACAAATGAAATGAACTTTGGAAATCCAATCCTAACGTTCTCAGATAAGAATCAAAAGAGGGATTAGGGTGGATTGTCAGATTGTCCATCTGTAACAGATTCCAAAACAAGTTATATTATGGATAGTCCATTGGGGTACATTGTACAATTGATACAATGCTTTCAAGATGTCTCTCTTCCTCTACACATTTGTGATAAGATCCATTGCTGGTGCTGACATCGCACTTTCACCTTTCCTGAAATTAATAAGGAACATTCCAGAAGAAAGCAGTGATGAAAAACCAGTATCATGAGTTTCATGACATAATTGGCAAGATGATGGAAATGATACCAAGTTTTCCAATTACTATCCTGAAAGCACTATTGAGATACTTCTAAATTCTCTAAGAACACAATAAATTCTCTAAGAACACTATAAACTAAGCAGTCTGCTTTTTAAAAAATAATCATTTATTATTCACGAAGTTATAAAAATCAGATGCTGCAAACACCATTATAGGGACTCCATCTCCTTTTGAAATGAAAATTGATGAATTTTTATTAGAGATAAATGTGGATCAAATACCAAAAAAAAAAAAAAAATGCAGGAATAAAATGACAGGAACAAGATATTCCTTGTCTTCTACTTTTTCATCAGTAAAGCTATAAATATCTAGCTAAGAGAAAACCCAAAAGCATTACAGGCTCTTATCAAATTTGACAGAGAAATATCTCAAGATGTTGCAGTGTGTATCAAGTTTAGCACTGTCCTCCACATATAGATTGCTACAAGTTAATTTTAAGTTTTCAGGGGTGAGCTGCTACTGGTTCTCCCCTGTTTGGGTGAAACAGTAACGAATTTTATCATTTTTAATTGCCAGTTTGGTGAACTGGTAAATCCCACCCCTCGCTGCCCCCCTCCGCCCCCCCTCCTATCCCAGGAATCTCCATGTGGCCCATTTTAAATCCCAGGTAAGTATATTGATAGTATCCCAGGTATACCATATTGGTCCCTCCCCGCGCAGATGCTCGGGGAGGGCAAAAAACAGGAAGTTCTGGAAAGCCAGAAATGGGCTTGTTTCCGGCTCCAAGTGGCCTCCGGAGCCTGAGGAAGCTGTTTTCACCCTCCCAGTGGCTTGAGGAAAGCCTCCGGAGCCCGGAGAGGGCAAAAATGACCCCCTCCCTACCGTGGTGCAGGAAGGTGACTAGGCTATGCCCACCATGGCCATGCCCTTCCAGCAACCGGGCCAAGAACCAGTTGCTAAAATTTTTGAAGCCCACCCATCAGTTTTTTGTGTTATTCTTTGTATTGTTTGTACTGTACCTCAGGGTTTTTTTTTCAACCATTAACTATCTATACTCATTAAAAGGACCTTAATTTATGTCAAGCTTTATATTTGAAATATTTTTTCTATATAGATCTATATACAAATGGTTACTTACTGCTTGACTTACCATACAGTGAATGACACAAACATTTTTGGGATTCTGCTCCAACCAGTTATGCATATTCTTACATACAGCATAGAGATTATGGAGACTTGGTGCTTGTCTAATTGGCCAACTACATTCAGATACCTAAAGAAGCACAGAGTGAAAACAGGTCAGAACAGTAGTAACAATCAGCTAGATTTGCACAGCATAAAAGAAAACTAGAAAGAGGTCAGGTAGTTTTCAGTTTGGCATATTTTAAGACCCAAGTATGTTCTATAAGTCAACTCATCACATAGCATGATTTGTTTACGCATGATCAGGCTCATCACCTTCAAAAAGCAGGAAAGGCCTATGGCTTTACAACATGTAAAACAGGATAAGGTGTTGGTTTTAACCCCTTGGTTTCACCTACTGTTTTGAAACAAATGATTATCTCTGCTGTCACACCTAGGCACAGTAATTTAGCAAGCTGTGTAAAAGATCCTGATGTTGGAAAAGATGGAAGGCAAAAGGATGAGGAAATGACAGAGGCTAAGATGGTCAGATAGTGTCAGCAATGCTATGAACATGAGTTTGGGCAAACTCTGGGAGACAGTGGAAGAGAGGAGAGCTTGGCATGCTATGGTCTATGGGGTCTGAACAGTTGGACATGACATAGCAACTAAACAAGAATCAAGCCAGTGACATAAAAAGGAACAGGCAACGCACGGATTTCATACTATAATTCATTAAATGACAATATGAAGAAAATGGGCTATTAATTAAAAACCCATCATTTAGAAAGGGGTCTGTTAAATTGATAATGTAAAGATTTTAAAATTCTGTTATCGGTCTCAACTTTACCAACTTTCCATCTGCTAATTAATCCTTCAAAGTGTTTGTTCGATTACCGGTAGTTTAGTTTTTTTAAATTATGTGACTTGTTTTGCTTATACATTGTGGAAAGAAAGAAAACCTCCTTATTTATGTGAAGATCCAGAGTATAGTGATTCTTTAGTACAATGATTTTCTTCCATGAGTCAGAGAAAAATGGATGCCTCCGTCCCCGCAACCCAAAAGGGTAGAAAAAGATTTCTTCTGAACGTTTATGTCTCTAGATGGCTATTGATTAAACAGTCTGGCCTAGGTATTCTCTACACAGGAATACCTTACATAGGAAACAATCAAATCTGCAAGATTCTATTACTATAGCCAATATAATACAGTAGTTTTAGAATTCCTTGGAGTTAAGCTGCAGAACTTATTCATGTGTGCATGTTTTGCATGCATACCTTTGATTCCTGATTTTTGGTGACTTACTAGATTTGTCCTTGCAGTTTTCTTGGCAATATATTTCAGAAATAGTTTTCCCTTGCCTGCTTCCTCTAGTTAGGAAAGATGGATCTCTCAGGTGACTTCTGTGCTTAAGGCAGGACTAGAACTCAGTCTCCAGTTTCCATATTGGTGCCTTAGCTACTGGCTCAGAATTGAGATTAGCCCCTAATATTTAATCATTCTGGGAAATAAATTAGGCATATTTTTAAAAAGTAATTTTTACTATAAGTTTAAAATTGGTGGTAGTAACATTCTTTTATTATTACTACCCTGTTCGGTTTTGTTTTTTTTTACTTTTTTAATTTTGCTGTACAGTGTCTTAATAAATATTGATCCAAAGATGGATTAAATTGATGGAATTTAAAGATAGCCCCAATCTGTCGTAATTCTTATCCATTAATAAGGCATTTCTTTTTTTTCAAAGGCAGATCCACATGGCACCAGCTACATATTATTTTAATATCACAACTTTACCGTGGTCTTTGCCACATCACTGCATCAGCAAAACTTACCCTATTATGAAACCGTGCAGTACGATAAGACTTTGGTGACAAATTGAAAACTGTGTAATGATCAGGATGCCTTGAATCAAGAAATGTCCGCACATCGTCAATATGATTCCTAAATCCCAGTTCGACTCCTTCACCCGGAAATGACATCACTATGAAGAAATGGGGGGGGGGGGAGAGAAACAAACATATATTCTGAAGTGAAACCCAAATAAAATGGGCAACGAGAAGTTGGAGGTTGCTGCATTGATTTATTACTCAAATAATAGACCACTTACCAATAATTCTTGAGGTAATATAAGAAATATCTAATTCTCCCTTGGCATAGCTATAAGAGGAAAAAAAAGAGAACAACAAAGTAAATTTTGGCTAATGCATACATATACAACTGATAAAAATATCAAGAATGCATTTGGATTATCACCTTTTTTTTACATTCATGGAATATTTTAGGGGCCAGTCACCTTGCCCACACTTATTACAAACATCTTAACTAAACACAATAATATTTACTTTAAAAATATTATTTATTTATCTAATAATAAATCTCCAATTATAAGGAGAAAAAGAAAAACCAAATAAACTAGAATTCTATATTCATTACGGTGTTCAGCATCTTATTTCATTCCACTCTACTCCACTCCATTCCATTTGCTACACATTCAAAACCTATGGTAGAAGAACTCATTATTTCTGTTAAGTTCCACACTTTTCCAGTCAGGTTTTAAATCAGATTTTAGAAGAGCAGCATTGGTTGTGATTGTTGATGACCTATGGAATCCCTCCTTGTGTTCCTTGATCTTTAAAGGGTTTTTGATACAATCTCCTATGGTATTCTTGTGTTCCAGAAGTTGGGAATGGGGGAATCACTTTGTTACAATGGTCCTTTCTTCGTGGTTTGTTCAGGTCAATATTAGAAGAGAGAGAGAGGGCCCATATTTCTTCATTTGGGGGTGCCTCAGGGTTCAAAGCTTCAATTTATGACTGATTAAAACTGCTAGGTAAGGTCACTCATCAGTTCGCAGTTCAGTATAAGCAGTCTGTGAATGATCCCAAAGGTACATCTCAACTCCAAGTTGTGCAGGTGATGCTGTCAATGTTCTGGCCCATTGTCTAGAAGCTGTTTGCATAGGAAAGGGGAGCAACAGACTTTGGCTCAATCCTGACAAGACTGTGTTGAAGACTTTTGATCTTGGATGAGGTTGCACTTTCCCATTCAAGATTGCTTTGTAACTTGAAGGTCCTCCCAGACCTGCAGCTATTGCTCAAAGAGCAAGTGGCAGCTATGGCCAGGTGGGCCTTCGCACAGGTTTATCTTGAGCACCAGTTGTACCCTTTCCTCACCTGGGAGGCCTGTCACCTATGCCCTGTTGGATTATTGCAATGCCCTCTAATGAGGCTGCCCTTTGAAGATGCCCTTCAAAAACTACAGCTGGTTCAAAATGCGGCAGCCAAGCAATAATGGGAACTTCTCATTATGCTTCATGGCTTCCAACACAATTCGAGGTATTGGTCATCACCAATTCATACCAAAAGGCCCGGTAATTTGAGACATCACTTGTCTCCAGTTGTTTGTGGCATTCAGGCAGAGCAGGTACATTTTAGTTGCCTCAATTAAAAACTGTCATCTTGTGGACCAAGAAAAAACGCCTTCTCTGTTGCTGCCTCTGTGTTATGGAATAGCAAATACCCCCCCGCCCCAGGGTGTTCTCTATGACTTTCAGAAGTACCCTAAGACCTGGATCTCTTCCCAGGCATGTCATTAGAGTGTTGGTGGAATCCCTGTTGAATCTTTTTTTACAAAAAAGTTGAGATATGCTTCTTTTAGTCAGGGCAGCTCTGTGACTTCAGTTGTGTGCTTTAGCTTAATGTATCAGATATGTTGTAAGCCGCCCAAACTCTTTTTGGAATAGGGTGGCCTTAACAAATCAAATCAAATCAATGAATAAATAAAGAGAGGGAGAAGTTACTCTCCAATCTAGTGATCAATAGGAATGTTGGGGTTACTATGAGTGTGATGGATATGGAATGAAGAAAATCTATGCATGCAGTTGTTAAGAATCATTACTGACTTGATGGCACATAATCAATCAATCAAAGAAGGTAGCAGGTGGTTGTGATCAGGGAAGAGCTTCTACGATCCCAATCTCCCACTAGAAACAGTGACAGTTGAGAATGGCAACATGGTTCATAATGCAGCAACAGTGATATTTTTGTGCTTGACTGTGAGGGTCTTTGTGTCCTGATCCAGCATTCATTTCAGCATATATTCTTATGAAAAGTGTCTTATTTCAACAGGGTGTCTCCTTGGTTATGGGAGGGGGGGGACCACTCAACAATAACTCACACTTAAAGCTGTCAGTTATTGTTCAAGAACCTAATCGCACGGGTCTAACATTCCTGAATTAATTGTGCTATGTATTTCAGTGAATTTAGAATATGACAACTTAATTGTGACGGAGTGCAGAGAATGGCCTTGACAAAGGTATGCAAGAGCTACTGAGACATGATGAGAAAATAAATGCCAATTCAGTCCTGGGAAAGGAGAGAACTTGAGAAATAGAAGAACACTGCAGTAGCCTCAAGTTTGAAGACTCAAAGTAAATCTACATTTTCAGTTCTTTCCTAAGTTTAAACAGTCACCGAACAAGGCAGTCAGTTAAGTAAGAGCTGTCTGTTACCTAAATTTCAGATTGTGTTTCACTTTAGCGAATTGGTTGTAATTATTCAAACGCTTTTCATTTCACTATATTGGTCAGTAATCAAATTTCCCTTTCCACAAGCCTATTAACATCCAATCACTTTCTACAACAAGGCATCTTAATAGTGACTGTGTTGCTTGCTGAGCACTTCAGATGGATGTATTTCATAGTACCTTGCAACAGATTGCATCACTTTAGTAGAAGTATCTTTTAGAGTATCTTTCAAGTTATCCTTTAAGTTGCTGAAGAGTCTCCCTGCACCACCTTTCATCATGTCCAATAATCCTCCCCCATAGCTAGACTCCATGTCAGGAGAAGAGGCACCTTGAAAAAAGGAAAAGGAGACTCAATAAAACAAAGGCATTGCGGAAAAAAAACAACCCCAAGAACTTTAACCACCACAGCAAATTTTAGATTAGTTACACGAATGTACTTATTAGAAAGAGATGAGAAAACAGAGACATTAGGAGCAACCAAAGTAACCCATAATATGAAGACAAAGAACACAACAACATTATTGTCCTGTTAAAACAAGATGTATTGACATTGACTATTTCTTGTTTTTCTTTTCCAGTTAGAACTGAAAAAGATGAAACTGATCTGAGACAGAATAAGCAACGACAGGAAACAGGCATAGCAGGAGTAGGATTAGATAAGAACATCTGTCAACAGATTGCATTAGTTTTGCAGGACCTGAGAGAGTTCCCAGACAAAGGGATACATTTGAATCATAACAGCCCAATGTAGAGATTTCTATCCACAGAACCTCACATCTCAAAGTAAAGTTGAACTTTCTTACTTTTTTGGGGGGGGAGAACTGTGATATTTTACAGGGGCTTTGAATCACAAGCAAGTAACTTTGCAAAATGTTCCTACGATTAAAAAAAATATTGATGGAGTAATCTGGAATGGGGGGAGGAGCTTTTGGGATGCCCCTTTGTCAAGATCAGATCAAGCCCTGATTACCATGGATACCACTCTGCCATCCATTGAAGGGAGGCCACATCCCTTAGATTTATCCAATTGGTGGTGACTGGGGGGGGGAAAGATCCCACCTTCGTCCCCTACTGTGTTAGAGTGCCACAGGGCTCGGTGCTTTCTGTGCATCTATTCAACAATTACATGAGGCCACTGGGTGAAATCATTTGCTGCCATGGGAATGAGGTATCAGTACACTGATGATACTCAATTATAGCTCTCTGTCCCTGGCAAACTAAATAATAGTGTGGATGTCCCACCCTGGTGCCTGTAGGAGCCTGAATGGAAAGCAACAGGCTTCAGCAAGACTGACTGGCCTTAGGACCCACTGGTTCTGGGACTATACCATCTTTGCTCTGGGTGGGGTTGCACTGCCCCAAACAGACCCTGTGCACAATCAGACAGCTCTCCTGGACTCACAGTTCCTGTTCAAGGAGCAGATGGCAGTAGTGGCCAGAAGGGCCTTTGCACCATTTTGCATTGTGCCACCATTGTGACCATTCCTAGATCAAGGGACTCTATTCACTTATGCCCTGGTCACCATCTAGTTGGTCTACTGTAATGCAATCTACATATGGGGCTGCCCTTGAAGAGTATCCGAAACTTCACTTGTACAGACTGCAGTCACATGGACAGTTCTGTGTATTTCAATGCAAGCTGCATTGGTTACTAGTCTGTTTTGGGGTCCAATTTTGGGGGCTGGTTTTGTTCTTTAAAGCCCTACATGGCATGAGGCCATATGAATCCTGGGACTGTCCCTCCCTGATTCTATCTGCCTGTCCCACTAGAATCAGCACCTTCCAACCTTTTGGACACCAGGGACCGGTTCTGTGGAGAGAGATTTTTCCGCAGACTGGAACAGGCATAGTTTCCTGTGCTTGGTGGTGTATTAACCATTAAGCAGACTAAGCACATGCTTAGGGCACCAAGCCCAAAGGGGGCACCACAAGGTTGAGAATATGGCTTCGTTTGTACGGTATATACAAAGGAGGGAAGCACCAAGATTTGTCAGTGCTTAGAGCACCAGTGAGCCTTAATCTGCCACTGCCTGTGTTGCCCACATCCCACAGATGGAGCTTCATCTGTTTGTGTGGTCTGGTTGCTGGCATGCCGCGGACCATTTTCGGTCCATGGACCGGGCATTGGGGACCCCTGCACTAGCTCTAACAAAGAAGGCATATCACCGGTCCCATCAAATAGGGAGCTTTGCTTGGTGGATCCCGACTTTATGGGGCATTCTTCCCCCGAAAGCCAGACTGACTTTATCTGTTTAAAATTTTCAATAGTCCCTCAGGGGACTGGTAAAATATTGAGACGGCTCCAGTGTAATTAACATCTGCTTTTACATATATATCATTTTTTGCCTTTTGTAATTTTAACATTTTTAAACATAACAATGTTAATATTTGTCAGCGTATATGGCTTTTAGCTTTGTTGTACACCACTCAGTCACTTGTCTGTGAAATGGAAGCCATGTAAATATGATGAAATAAATAAATACCAAATAATTATAATTATGCAAAGTTAAACAGCTGAAAATAGCTCTATGTCTATCAGGCCATAGACATACACCATATCTGTGGCATCGCACATTTCAGGAAATGAAATCACTATTTATTCAGGGCATTAGAAAATACTGTCCAATTGAATTAAATTAAGAAATGCTGCTCTGGGATATATTTAGACCCACTTTTTGCCTCTATAAATCAAGGATAGCTTACTATTTGCCAAAATTTGGCTGGATGAATATGAAACTGAATCACCATTCTAAGGCAATAGCTTCATTGATGAGAATAACAATATCTCATCTCTTTTAGTGGATTTTTGTTAGAAGAAGATTTCTTTCCAGGACATCGCTTTGAAATGATTTGTGTGAAGGAGGTTGTTGTTTTTTTTGTCAAAGACAAGTAGCAAAAGGAGATAAAATCCTCCAAAAACCTCAGAATGAAATAGTCTTTATGATAATAATTTTCTTGGCAGGACAAATTTCTCCCCCACCTCTCTGTACTACAAATGAATAGGAATATGGCTTCATTTAACTGCATTTGGAAAAATTGCTTGATGCATGTCTCAGTATATCATTTTAAACACATTATGAAAAAAGTAGATCTCTAGAGAGGTTTATAATGGCAGGAAAGATGGAAGAAAAGTGGTGGGGGGGGTGATCAGCAAAAAGATGGATAGATTTGATTACATCAAAGGAAGAATATGCCAACTGAAGACCTAAAGGACCAAGTTGTGGCAGGCCATTCTAAGAAAATCTATGTAGTTGACACCAAGTTAAAGGGACACAATAATCAATCATTCATGGATTTATACAATATGGAATTGCAGTTGTCAACTTCAATCCTTAAAACATATCCCTAATATTCATTTTATTTTTGTTTGTCTGTACAAGAGTCTGCCATTCATTCTGGTTGCTGAAGCTTTATCCTTATCCCATCTAAAGGAGAAAATGATATCCCGATATCAAAGTGAGTATGCTTCTTTGAATTTGGGCATTTATTACAAAAAAGAACAGATGCTGTAACTCTCATAGCTTTTTCATGAAGAATTGTGTGGCAACTTTCTTCCAGAGAATTATAATAGCTGCAGTGGCAAATTACCATCTAACTTAGTTTTATTTATTTTATTTATTTATTTGATTTGTCAATTGTTTACAAGATAATAAGTACAAGTGTATACATAGTTGTGAATATATGAAATGGGTACATATAAGAAAAATAAAAGAATAAGAGAAACAATAGGACAGGGACGGTAGGTTTATTTTATATAATTTCTATGCTGTTCCTATTATAAAACTGTCCATGGCCCACTAAGATAAAAGTGGAGCAGAAAAAAGCATAGGAGTAAAAACTATAAAATTATAATAAACAATGTTAATTATATTCTTTGTGATGAATATTTAAGAAGTGTAGAAACAGAAATATTTTATTGTTTCAACTTACTGAAAGATTATTCAGAGGAAAAAAATAGAAAGATTAGCGATCATGCTGATTATTTTAATTCTGCATTTCATTAACCTTTCACTAACTGTTTCCTCAAACATTACTCTCATTTAACTTTCCTTTATGCTTTCTCAAAATGGACAATTGCATTTTCCTCAAACACATTTTCAAAATAGTAACTTTGAGGAAAAACCTGACGTGCTTTGTGCTTAATAATGGTATGTAAATTGCAAACAATATAAAACACACTCAGGGGTGATATGAACCTAAATGAGAATGCTGCTACAACCAAAACTATGTGGATGAGCTGATAATGTTATTCAGCTCCAGAAACAAAGAGGCTTCAGAAATTGACTTTTCTCATCTCAAATTGTCCAAGAGAACAGACAGACGAGATAGTGTCTAAGAGACCGCCTTTTGTTTTCACAGATATGGAGATATCTCTCAGTTTCTTCATAAACAATTACTATGACATAAGATATTTTAACTTCTAGTAATGGCCTTTTAAGAAAAGTTAATGTACCTTAGTGTACTGAAAGCTAATTCAGTTAGTCAACATTACTTCTTCAGTCTAATGTTGTCTAAATATACCAACATCTAGTAATTTTCCTGATCTGAAGCTATTTTGAGTAATATTTCTGGGAAATAATTAAAATATAGGCAATGCTGAAATTCCACCTGTTTGGTTTAATATGATGAGTTGTTCATAATTCATAGACTGGGGCTTTGTTTCATGAGAAAAGCTAAACAGAGCTTGCTCTAGTGAGAATTTGCTTGAACATTAAAAGCAGCCACCTCTATGTTTTCTATGTTCACTTTCAAAGATAAAAATGTTTGAGAAGCTTTTCAATAACAATAGCAATAGCACTTAGACTTATATACCACTTCAGAGTGCTTTACAGCCCTCTCTAAGCAGTTTATAGAGTCAGCATATTGCCCTCAACAATCTGAGTCCTCATTTTACTGACCTCAGAAGGATAGAAGGCTGAGTCAACCTTCAGCTGGTGAGAATCGAACTGCTGGCAATTGGCAGAATTAGCCTGCAATGCTGCATTCTACCACAGTTCTCTCAATATTGACTCTTTCCAATGACATGCTTCAAACTAAGACTTTTTCCAGGGCCATGGCTTAAAAAAACCCTAGAGTATTTCAGTTCACTGAATCCTTACAATGAATAGCTTGTCTTCAGAATGTCAAGAATAAAAAGAAATGTAAAATCCCCTGTCTGGATTTTAAAATGTAATTCACAGCAGAATTTGGAAAATTGGGTGCAACTGAGAAAGACTTGAGAACTGAGTTTAGAAGCAGCTTACTTTAGGAGAGTCAAGGTTCTGGGTTTATGATTTAGCTGAATGTTTAGCATCAGAACTCCTTGTTCTGAAAAATCCCGATATACTGGTCTAACTCAGCTTATCCCAACCGGTATCCTTCAACTATGTTGGACTGTAAGTCACATACCTATTGATGAGCTGTTAGCTGAGAATTGCTACCACAAAACATATATCTGAAAATAAAGCTATTATTATGAAGACACCATATGTCTTCCTTCCTCATAAAAAGGACAATACCAAGATAGTAAATACAGTGGATCTTATATACTAGCAAGTTTCTCAATACATATTGGAATGTAATTCCTTTAATTTCCAAATCTCTTTTCTGTATTTGCTGGGAAAGATGGAAGGACAGAAAAGAAGATAAGATGGATAGACTCAGTTACAATGACGCAATGGATGCACCAGGGGAAATCCTAAAATGTTGGGTAAAGATTGTCATGGCGGTGTGCTATGTGATGCTAAGAGGCGACATCAGTTTCATGGCACACAATCAACAAATCCAACATATTTGAAGAGCACAAGATCAGAATAGGTTCATTTAATCCAACGTATCAGGATCTCATCTAATCAGTATACTAAATTGATTTTCCTGGGGAACAATTCTATAAAGCGTTTTGTCAATGTGCATTAGAACTGCATCACTGCGATCAGTGGAAATATTCAGTTTTCATGCCTAAAATGAAATAAGCACTTCAGTATATAAGAGGATACCTTGGCTGATACAACTGAATTATTTCTCCTGTGTTGCTTTCAGTTTGCAGAAAACATGTTATTAGATATAATAAAAGAGTGATTGGAAATGCGTGCCTTCATCATAAAATGAAAGATTAATAGCGTATATATTAGGTACTAGTGCTGGAATTGCAGTGCCTATAAACTCTACAGAATAGCTCAGAACAGACATCTCTAAAATGAGAATGGAGCTAAATAAATGAAAATAATTTTAAAAAGTGAAAGCATCCTCATCTGACTTTTCAAGTGATAAATCTTACCATGACAAATGCTTGAATGAGGAACAATTTACAGTCTTAGAAGTGCTTCTTAGTCATCATATTTATTAAGTGTGAATGTTACTGAAATCTATAATAGCTTTTACATAAGTCTTGAGAATTGGAAAAGGGTTTTGTTGCTGTTGTTATCATAGACATTAATTTTGGAAGCAATGGGGATTGAATTCATGCATAATGAATGCAGGAATACCCAAGTGACACGCCAGCTACCTCTGAAAAACTCCAGCAATTTGAGCTGTAGAATGCTTACTACATGCAGTACCAGGCTTCTATTTTTAAATAAAAATTGCTAACTTTCATACCATTAACATATTTTTATTATTCTGCATATTCACTATGACTATTTTTGAATTCTACCAACAATAGAATTCACATAGAAAACATTCAGGAAGGCAAATGCAACGGTAAATGTTCATTCCCTTGGCATTCTTATAAATTGAACAGCTAAGAGTAAGCAAGGCTGGGCAACTCATGCCTTGGGGCTTAAGTGCAACCCTTGAATGTGCCCTTACCCATGATTGCAAAAAATAGCACATTCTTGATATTCCCATATTATGAACGGTTTGGTACTTTGTTATACTTTGGTAATCCTCAACTTACAACCATTTGTTTAGTGAAAGTTTGAAGTGTTAAGAGCACTGAAAAAAGTGACATGATGATTTTTCAAACTTACAACCGTTGCAGCATCCCCATAGTCATGTGATCAAAATCCGGGCATTTGGCATGTATTTATGACAGTTGCACTATCTTGGGGTCATGTGATCATCATTTGTAACCTTCCCAGCTGGCTTCGGACAAGCAAAGCCAATGGGGGAAGCCAGATTTACTTAATGACTCAATGATTCACTTATCAACTGCAGAGATATACTTAACAATTGTGGCAAGAAAGGTCATAAAATGGGGTACACCTCCCTTAACAACTTCTTAGTAACAGAAATGTTGGTTTCAGTTGTGGTTGTAAGCCAAGAACTACCTTAATTTAAAAAATTTAAAAATCTCAATTCTCCCTCAAACCCATCTCACCAACACATGTGAGGATGTTCCACCCAATCTGCAACCCCTGCCTCTTCCTAAAGTGTCATCCTTGGCCACCAAAGATTGCCCACTTTTATGGGGGATTCTTCTTTATCATTATACAGATGGCCAGAGAGCCTGGTTGGTGAGCTGAGTCACTGAGCTAGAAACAGGGAAATATGAATTCTACTCTTGCCTCTTAGCTCTAGGAAGTAATCAATGGTAAACCACTTCCAGAAACCTGTCAAGGAAACTTCAAAGACTTTTTTCAGGCAGTCAGTAGGAGTCAACACTGACTCAAATGTGTGTACACACACACACACACACACATACACACACACACACATATATATATATATATATAATTACGTAATGATTAGGATGTGAAGTCTAACATCCAACGGATGTCCTTATTCCTGAAGTTCCAAGGAAGGAAATGATCCAAAGTAGACCAAACCATGTTTTCCAATATTGCCAAAATGACTAAAACTAGAATCTACCCTTTAAGTGTAAACATCTGGGAATACCTCCCTTTGGTAGTTTTAAGAAATGCACTCAAAATTACACAGTTGCAGGTTTTTTAATTTATAAAATATTTGCAAATGGGTTTAAATGAAGCTGTTTAACTTTTATCAATTAAAAAAAAACAGTGGATGAATATTTAAGGACTGTTTGCAGAAAATAATTATCACAATCCTTAAGTAATCATCTTCTGTGTCCTTAGAAACTTGTCACCTTCCAGATGTTGCTAAACAACAATTCTCCTGGATATATTGTTAACTCTAATATGAGTTGAAGTCAGCAACTCTGGTTTTCCCCCCAAAATGACAAGATCACAAGAGCCAGTAAGAATATTAAAGCCCATTAGGTAATTTTACCCTTTTCATGGAAAGTGTTAAATCAATAATCATAACAGCAGACTCATACAGATGAAAATAAGCACAGATATATCACTGTCCATGTTGTTCACACAAGCCTATTAGTCTATTATCTGCAAAATTTCAATCAATATTTTTAATTTGATCTACAAACTTAAGCAAAAATCTATACATTTCAAAGTAAAATTTTGATTAAAAAATATTTTAATCTTTTTCTTTTTGAAGCAGCAGATCAATCCAAGATCTGTAACTAGTGGAGTCTGCGTAATTTCTGAATTTGTAAAGCCTAGCTTGTCACTATTTTTTCAAATCAAACAAAGAGAAAGGAAATAAAACCTCAAAGAGAAGGTAATGCGTAATTGTAACTATTGTGGATCATACAGTTATTTCAATAGAAATAAAAGTGAATATCAAATCCTTTAAAATGCAATACATGGAACAGGAGATTTGGCTTTCCTTATAACTTTTTAGCATTTTCTCAGCTCATTGGGAAATAACCTTATATTTGTTGCCAAAAATTTTCAAAAGCAGTACTATTTCTTTCTCACTCAGTTTGAAACTGATCCAGGGGAAGAATGGTTTTATGAAGCAATTCATTCAACATCCTACTGTTTGAGGATTTGGAAAAAGCCTGCGTCTTCCTCTCTCTCACGCACACACCTCTAACCGCTTAACAAAATTGGGCACTATATCAAAACAACTGAATACTATAAAATTCTCAGTCTAACCAGGATAACTTTGAGGTTCAACTCCCCCCCAAAAAAAACTCTTTCCCCCCCCCCTTAATGTAGCAGCAGCAGCACATCATTTGATGGAAAATGCTTATACATCAAAAAATATTCTTTACTCGGGAAAAAGGAAGACTTCGTCAGAAATGAAACAAAACTGTGAATATATTCCTATAGCGCTAGCTTTTGTGGCATTGAAGAAATCATGTCATTCAACAAAATGTGCCCATCAACCAATTTGAGAACACAGCAGATAATCCATCAATAAGTACCAGGTTATTGATGCAATTGATCAGCAATCCAGGTTGGACATTGCAATGACTAGCTTATTACTAGTTCTATAAACCGTCCAACTGTCTATGTAGGAGATTTTAAAACAGATAAAAGATTGTGGATATATAGCACCTTTTTATAGGTCTAACTATCACCATTTCCCATAAAGACAGTTCCGTTTTTGCAGTGAGGGGAAAAAAGGTGTGTCACTTGATGGATTTTTTTTAAAGTAACATGCTGCTTGGGTTTTAAGCTTCCCCCAGTCTATATTCAAAGTAGAAACTGGGGCTGCCAGTTAGCTTTTAAATATAACAAATAATAATAATAAAACTTGCTTATTAGGGCTGAGCCTAATAGTCAAATAAATGACCCTTATTTTCAAGAATAGTATAAGCAGCATCAGCTTTATATACAGATAGTTTCCCAGTGCAGACATTCACTTTCTTTCAACAAAAATCAAACAAAAACCACTTTAAGCAGAAGATTTCCTGCCAAAGACCAAGTACTTTTGAAAATATACATTTGCTTCTTTCCAGGGTTTCCCTGAAGAGGTCATTGCTAACAGTTTTGGTTTCACACCAAGGCACACTAGCAAAATAGCCCGAAGCAATCTTCTCTGCATTTCCATTCCCTCCCACTCACCCCCTTATTCACAAGCACACACGCAGTCCGAGAACAATACACTGATCGGCGCGGTTCCTTTGCGCCCCGCCCGTCCCCCACCCCACCCCCTTGTACTTAACGGAACAGCGTGACAAGAAGGGACAGGTTTCTTCATTAACTGCTCTTCAAACCTCTGTACGTTTTTAGTAAGCAGGCCTTCGCCTTAGAAAGGACAGCCTGGCCCGGCCAGGTCCGCTCCAACCCCGCCACCCCTCCACCAACACAGTCCTCGCTCGGAAGATTGGGCCCGAAGTACATTCCCCCCCCGCCCAACACACACACACACACACACACACACACACACACTTCCCCGCGCAGAGGCAGTCAACCTGCTACCTGAGCTGTCCATGGTGCTGCAGTCGAGCGGCTGATGCTGATGCTGTCGCGCTGGGCTCCTGGCTGCTGCTACCACCGCGGGGATCACCCCTTGTTTGCCGAGGTTGCCGCCGCCGACGCCGCCGGTTCGCTCCCGGCTGCTGCAGAAGTCACCGTTGCTGTCCACCAGCTGCAAAGATTCATAGCCATCATTGTTGGTCTTTTTCCGGTAGCTCCCGAGGAGACTCATGGGCGAGTCAGGCAGAGAGAGTGGCACCGCGGACATAAAAGGCGGGAGAATCGCAAACAGCTCACCTTCCCCTAGAGGCGGAAGCAGCCACACACCCAGAGCGGGGCTCCAGCCCCAGCAGGGCCTTACTTGCGGGCTGACTGGGTGTGAGCGCAGGCGGTGGAGGCAAGCGACCTCCCCGCCTCTTGTCTCCCGTCCCCGCCTCTGCCTGGCAGCTATTGGAGCAGCCTTGTGAGGCACACCTTGCCTGCTGCTACAGACACTTAGCCCGACCCTTTTAGTCTCTAATGCCTACTGCTTTCAGGAAGGGATGCCCGGAAGCAATGTAAGAAGGGCCTCCAAGCGTGCCTGCGCGCGTTTCTCTACCGCTTGGCTTCCACACCATCCCGCTGCTTCTAGAGACCTAGAAAGGAGCAAGATCAACCAGCATGCAAAGCGGGGAGGGGGGCGGGGGGGGGCGGGGAAGGGGGGCTGCAGATCATCTCCATCCCGATTCAAGGCACTCAACATTCCAAGGTTAAAGAAAGGCAGCAGGCACAGTCAGGAAGTGGATAGAATCTATCCCACTCAAACATCCAAGATCGGAATCAAGCAGGCAATGGAGTTTCTTTTCCCTGTGACACTCTAAGGAAGCATTAATTGGACACTGAAGAAGCGGGGTAGAAAGAGTTGTTTACACTTTTGAAATTTGATGTTGAAGAAGAAGAAATTTGATGTTGACGAAGGGGCGTGCATAAGCGTACCAACGTGCCTACCATCCCTGTCCTATTGTTTCTTTTATTTTTCTTATATGTACCCATTTCATGTATTCATAACTATGTATATACTTATACCTATTATCTTGTAAGCAATTGACAAATCAAAATAAATAAAGAAAGAAAGAAAGAAGCTTGAAAATACAACTGATAATCAAAACCAAACAAAAGAATTATTGAACAAATCACTTGAAGTACACACGACCAGGCTCAAATCATTATACTTTGGACAAATTATTCAGTGGACAAGCTCTCTGATGAAATCTATAATAATTCCACCAGAGAAATGGAAGATGAGCTGTAACAAACTGGATGGACTCAATTACAGCAGCAATGAGTGCATTACTGGAAGTCCTATGGACCAAGTTGGAGACAGATCCACCTGGAGAAAATCTATGTGATCCCTGAGAATCAACACTAATTTGATAGAACATAATCAATTCTCAAAACCTCACCTGGTGCCCTGTTCCTTGTAACCCAGGCTTCCCCTATCCTTATATCCTACAAAAAGTAGGGAATTGGCCAACTCTCCATCATGTAGATGCTAGTCTTTCCTTATCACTATCATCAGAGCCAGAAACATAGAAAGTACAGTGAATATATGCAATAAAGTATCTAATGAAGCCGCCTTTACAAGTCACCTTCGCTAGTTATACCAATATTCAAAATATTACAGCATTTTCATCCACACAACAGATCAAGGGTCTTCAAACTTGTCAAGTTTAAGACTTGTGGACTTCTACTCCCAGAATTCCCAAGCTAACATTACTGGAGGAGGAATTCTGGGAGTTGAGGTCCACAAGTCTTAAAGTTGTCAAGTTTGAAGACCCCTGCAATAGATGCTAGTGGTCTATGCAAGAGACTGCTACCTAGAAAGCAGGTCCAAACTTTTACTCAGATAGGATAGCTTGGGCAACTATAAGAACTATATTTTTATAAGTGAAACTCACTGCAATAACCTAAGGTCTGTATATGCTGTTTTTTTATACTAATTAGTACATCTTTCAAGGAATGGCTTCTGTTTCTCTAATTGTAATTGGTTTTCTTTAAATTATATTGGATTCTAAGAGAGAAAGAAAAAGTGTCCCAAAATATTTTAGACTGGGACATTCTAGACTAGAATGTTTTTCCTATCCTTGCTTGATCCAACCCTGCTTATATTACCATTTATATTTATATATATTGCATCTATATTCTTTTAATCTTTCCAAAGTTCATGTTTTTCACATGTCTTGGGCTACAACTCCTTTCAATACCATGCTTAGTCATGGTAAATAGGAACCCACATGTGGATGCACCAACTTGGAAGAGGCTGCTTTCCTGTCATGTCAAAACTACTACATTAGGAAGCATTTGATGTGCATTTCTGGACCATCCATATCTCAGACATCTTATGATGAATAGACCCATGAAAATCGGATGGGAGCGAAGCCAACATTTTGGCTATCTAGCAGATTTTTCCCTCATTCAAACAGCTTCTTCTAAAATTTATTTCTAATATTATCAACATCCCATCCAGTTTTAGAGTGTCTTCATTGTTTTGCCAAACCAAGATTTTTCTTTTTTTATCAGTGTGGCAAAGTTGTTTTTTTTTTTTAGAAAGAGTAGGATTCCTAAGCCTTTTACAGTTTTGAGAGAGAAAGAGAGAAGCAGAATATGATACCCATCAAGTGTAGCTTATCATGAAATTGCACCACTTGCAGTGCCCTTTTTCTTAACTAGTAAAGAAACAAGCCCTTTAGATCTGGCCATATTCTAATGTTTAAAATTTGGCAAAGCTACAGTGTACTTTCAATTTGCATATCACAGAGCTGTTTCTCCTCTTCATTCAAGAGAATGCAATTTGGTAAGGAATATACAAGAGAAAGCATAGGAGAAAAAAAATCAATGAATTTAAAAACTGTTAAATGGAACCATTTTGTTCCACTATTGAATTTTATAGCTCTTTATAAGGATGTACTAATGGCTTAGCTTCATTTTTTAAAATATAGATGAAAATTAATTTTGTTGGAAAATTTGTCATGAAGCAGCAATTTATAAAAAATGTTGGTGCCAAATTATTTTACCTTTTAAAGATTGCTATATTGAAAATATTGTGCACTATCCCAAAATCCAAATGAAGTAAACTTGGGCTGAGGACTTTGGGCACAGCATAAACTTGGACCAATGGCAATCAATATGGGAGTGAAATAAAAAATAACATTAGCCACATCATACAATGAAAACTTGTATAAGGTGTTCTATGTTCTAGTGGTGGCATCTCCCATGGAAAACTTGGAGAAGGAATTATTTGTTCTTAACAAATAAGACAGAGGAATATGGGCAAAATATGCAGGGAGGACAACTTATGTCTGAGCTTATAGTACTTCAACCAATGTATTGTGGTATAACTGTGTCTAACAAGTGAATACAAGATAAGCCACAAAGACAGAATGAGAGCCGCATAATTTAGGTAAAACATTAACTAAAGGTTTTTCACATTTTATCCATCTATTAGCAAGTTATTCTTCTTCACATATTCTGGGAATATGTAGTTTATGGACACACTGAGGAAAGCTTCTTTAAATATTCTGTTCTCTTATAGTCATCAATATTTTCCCTTTCCTTGGTTTTCTTATAACACCTTCTTATAATCCAGGGATCCCCAAACTTGGCAACTTTAAGACTTGTGGACTTCAACTCCCAGAATTCTCCAGCCAAGTTTGGAGACCTCTGTTATAACCTATTGGAATCTCCTTTGCATTATTCTTCAGCAACACAGGGCTTCCAGATGTGGTAAATTATTACTTTATTATTTCCAGTCAGTTTGGGGAAGGCTGGTCCATATGTTTACTTGGAGGAAATTGCATTGTGGGACTTTACTTAGGAAAGTGTCTTTGTAAGATTGAAAACTATTGTGGTTTTGGTTGGAATACTGACCCCTCTCCAGTAATTCCTACTGATTCTCTGTTAAAATGATGACTGGGTTTTAGTGCCTTTAAATGAGTATGTAATAGATACAACATCCCACATAACTGTATCTTCAAGTATAGCACTAAGGCTAAGTTATTTTCCAAGAACATGAATGCATGGAGCAGATGGAATCTAATATAGGAGATTATTTGTAGGCAGAGGTTTGTACTCCGAGTTTGCTACTTGGCTCCCAGATGTTTCATTACCAAACTAGGTAATATCTTCAGCAGGGTTTTGGGTGAGGTGTCTTGTTCATTTATATAGGTGTTAGGTGGTTGGTTGGTCTTGCGACTGGTTGAATCACAAGACTGGTGAGAATATTTGTAGTTCAGGGGTTGAAATGAGTGCTCTTTTTGAGCTTTGTTGTGACTAGCACTGATGTTGGGGTAATAAAGCATCTGCAAGAAAACAACCAAGCTCAGAGAATACCAAGGATTTACTTTTTTTCAGCCCAACCACCTCACAGGGTTGTGCTTTTGGGGAAAATAGGAAGAGGAAGGTGTAATAGGTATATTCACTGCTTTGGTTATTTATAAAAACAAGAGTAGAATTGTAATTTCTTTAATAAAATTAAAGAAAGTAGAAAGAGCAGCATATAACACTTTGTGAACTTTATACTGAAGCCTGTTTTTTTACTATAAGTACTTACACACACTCATACCTCCAGATTCCTCTCAAGAATGTGTCACAAAATGGATTATCTATGGTCTACTCTTACAACACTGCTGCATTTGCTCACGTTTGTCAGATGCTCTCAACCAAGGAATTTAAATCAAGCCTTACAACTCCAAGCAAAATGGCAACTCAATGAAGTGTGAAAAACAGATCAATAGAGTTATATTCGTACCCAAGACATATTTGTTACAAGACCCATTCAGAAAGCAAAAGAGCAGAACTATTGCTTGGTTCTTGCTGAAACCACTCTCATATATCATCCAAGATCTCCTGTCCAACCTACATGTGAGGCTATTTTCAGCCTAGGCAGAAACCACAAGAGTGTCCACTGAAAGTTGTAAGAACAACAGAGACATTATGGCATAAGAGCTGGGGGAAATATGTTAATTAAGAGATTATAATATAAACTTTATTGATTTTTATTTTTTATCCCTCCTTTATTACTTTTATAAGTAAGTCAAGGTGGCAAACATATACAATATCCTTCCTTCCCCCATTATCCTCACAACAATGACCCTGTAAAGAGGATTGGGTTGAGAGTGAGCAACTGGAAGGCAGGACTAAAACTCATGGTTTCTAGGCCAGCATCTTAACCACTACACAAGACTGCCTCTCATT